GGCAGATGGTGGTGGTGTGCGGCAAATGGTGGCCAGTGTATGGCAGATGGTGGTGGTAGGTGGGCGGCAAATGGTGTCAGTGTATGGCAGGATGGTGGTGGTGGCGGCAAATGGTGTCAGTGTATGGCAGATGGTGGTGGTGTATGGCAACGCGTCAGTGTGTATGGCAGATGGTGGTGGGTGGTGTGGCGGCAAATGGTGTCAGTGTACGCAGATGGTGGTGGTGTATGGCAAATGGTGTCAGTGGGCGGCAGATGGTGGTGGTGTATGGCAAATGGTGTCAGTGTGGTATAGATGGTGGTGGTGAATGGCAAATGGTGTCAGTGTATGGCAGATGGTGGTGTGCGGCAAATGGTGTCAGTGTATGGCAGATGGTGGTGGTGAATGGCAAATGGTGTCAGTATGGCAGATGGTGGTGGTGTATGGCAAATGGTGTCAGTGTATGGCAGATGGTGGTGGTGTATGGCAAATGGTAACAGTGTATGGCAGATGATGGTGGTGTATGGCAAATGGTGTCAGTGTATGGCAGATGATGGTGGTGTATGGCAAATGGTGTCAGTGTATGGCAGATGGTGGTGGTGTATGGCAAATGGTGTCAGTGTATGGCAGATGATGGTGGTGTATGGCAAATGGTGTCAGTGTATGGCAGATGATGGTGGTGTATGGCAAATGGTGTCAGTGTATGGCAGATGGTGGTGGTGTATGGCAAATGGTGTCAGTGTATGGCAGATGGTGTCAATGTACGGTAGATGGTATCGGCGTATGGAAGGTGGTTTAAGTGGGCAGACGGTATTTATAAACGGCAGACAATACAAACTAACGGTAGACAATAATTATAAACGGCAGACGGTACTAGTAAACGGCAGACGGTACTTACAAACGGCAAAAAATACTAAATAACGGTAGACAGTACTTATAAACGGCAGACGGAATTTATAAACGGCAGACGGTACTTATAAATAACATACGATACTTACAAACGGCAGACAATACTCTTTCTTAAATCACTAACAAAAAACAAATCTCTTTTCAAGGACACAAATAATAACTAACAATAACAGCGGCTTACGGGTGTTTCCCCACGACAAGACTGCTAGAGTTATGCCGCGTGGTTGAAGCCTCGTACAGATATCTTATGATTGTCTTCTGGAAACACAATCCTAGAGAGACTTTGCGCTTATTGATACAGTATAGGAGGTTATTGTAATTGTTAATGTGATATACAAACATATAGTGGTATAACGTACGATTCTTTATTGTATTTTTTGTATTTCTGTCGTATTTGATGTTATACAGAATACATAAGGTTTGTAATATACGTGTTTTTCTAAGTATGTATGTACTACTGTTTTTATATATGTATACCTGTATGTATAATAAAAATGTACATATTTATACTTTTACGTGATACACTTACTGTACAGACTTCGCTATAAAATATATAGTTTCATCTTTAAAAGAATTTATTAAACTTAATACATACTATTTAGGAATGTTATACAGAGAACACAATAGTATACACAAACCAA